TTCCTTCCTTCCTTCCTTCCTTCCTTCCTTCCTTCCTTCCTTCCTTCCTTCCTTCTGCATTCTCTTCTTTTTACCAAGTTCTCCTCCCTTCCTCCCTCCCTCCTTCCTCTTCCTCCCTCCCTCCCTTCCTCTTCCTTCCTACTTTCCTCCCTCCCTCTCTCCCTCCCCATACCAGAACTAGTGTACTGAAAATGCAAACATCTGTTTAATGCCCAGTGTTAATAGCATTTGAATAGCCTGGAAGAAGCTATTAAGTAGGGAGGATTGTGATGGACAACATTTTTCTGGCCCTTATGTATATTACATTTGCTCATAAATTGCTACTTTGTAGGAGTTTCTGTAAATCCCCCCCTGCCATGCACATTTTGGTTTATTTGTTAGAACTAAAGTACTTATGAAGTTATGATGCCATCTGTACAACAAACAGCCCATTTAAAAAAGAAAGAGCAAGTAGGCATCGATAAGACAATTGTGTTCAGGATTCTGGAGGGAGAATGTCAGTCCTGGATTCTTCTTGTAGTCTGGACCTCAATCATATTCCCAACACCCAGGTTTGCTCTTTGTGTTTGGAAAAAAGGACATCAAAGACCCCCAAATGAGATTTTTTTTCCAATGGAGCCAGCAAGACCAGGATTTCCAGTCCAGATAGGAAGGGGTTTTGTGAAACCCCCTCCTCACCACTAGGGGTGTGATACTGTGCACACTCCTTTTCCAGCCTATGCAATATTGGGGGCTAGATAGTCCTGGAGACCCCATTGGGGTCCTGAATTTTTTGAGAGCTTAGCTTTGCATTTCATCTTTTAATAGTGTTTATTAAGAGCTGCCCTTAGTGCTTTCTTTGAAGAAATCTGGCACAGAACGATGTGGCAACTTGAAAAGAATAAACCTGAGTAGGAGAAACCCAGTAAGAAGGATCATAACTAATCACCAAACATCTTACCCTTCACTCCTGGCTTTCTTTCATTTCTTAGCAGACACCTTCTTGACAGGTGTCCTGATACAAATCCTTTGCCTGGGTTTTATCCCTGACATGGCATAGCAGTTTTTCCCAAAATATAAGCTGCTTGGAGCTTCACTGAAGAACATCTCAGAGGGGTTATGGAATAGCCCCAGAACAGTAGCTTTCATGTTTTGCCCTGCTCATCCCGCTTCCACTAGGTCCTTCCAACTCAATCGATAACAATGTCAACAGATGTAGTGTGCACCATCTGCAGAACGATTTCCTGTCTGACCTTATAAAGGATCCCACAGTCCCAGAAACTCACAAGTGTCTATTAATGGTGACAGACTGAAGCTTAGTCAACTCTTAACTCCAACAGAGTGCATTAAAGTGCTTGGCAAGTCATATAAAGGAAAACCCATTGAAATCAGGAGCTGGCATTTCCAGGAGTTTGTTCAACTGATTTTTTGAAAGTTTGATTATTGGAAGCCTATTCTCCCTCTTGCCCCAAATAAAGGAAGCAGAAAGAATCCATGGTTTCTTGTTTTTTAAGGAGAGGATGGCTCCCTGGGCATTTCAAGGAAATTCAGATGTTAACAATCACTGAGTTCAGTATGCTAAGACATAACAATACTTGTAACCAGCAGTTGTGCCTTGGAAAACTTGGCTTATGGCTTAGTGTGATGTGAACCCTATTTTGGCCCATTCAACAAACCATGATTAATACAAATAGTGCCCAAGCCTGTGAAACTGCCCAGATTTTCTGGCCTAAGCAGAAGAACCAAATCCGAGTCTAAATTTTGCATCCAGAAGAGTTCCAAGTTCAATCCATAGCATCTCTAGAGAAAAGGATAAGGTGAAAAAGAGTATCTAAGTCACAATGTGGTTTTCCTGATTTTTAGCTTAGCTTAGACACTTCTGCTAGATGGACCAATGATGAGACTTATGGTAGCACCATTCCATAGACCCATAACTGTGTTGTCTCCCTCTCACAATCTTGTCTGCTCAACATCAGGCTAGAAACTGGGAGACCATGAGTTCTAGTCCCGCCTTAGCCATGAAGCCAGCTGGGACACCTTGGGCCAGTCCCTCTCTCTCAACCCTAGGAAGGAGGCAATGGTGAACCACTTCTGAAATCTTGCCAAGAAAACTGCAGAGACTAGTCCAGGCAGTTACCAGGAGTCAACACTGACTCAAAGGCAAGGAGAACCAGGTGGGTATAGTGGTTAAAGGCACCAGGCTAGAAACCAGGAGACTGTAAGTTCTAGTCCCACCTTAGGCACAGAGCCAGCTGGGTGACCTTGGGGCCAGGCACTCTCTCTCAGCCCTAGGAAGGAGGCAATGGCAAACCACTTCCAAAATCTTGCCAAGAAAACTGCAGGGACTAGTCCAGGCAGTTTCCAGGAGTCAACACTGACTTAAAGGCACCACAAAAAAGAAAGAAATTAGAGCCCAGACTGCTCATGTTCCAGCAGCCAGGCATCCTGCATAAATGCGCAGGAAGAACAGAAACCATATCATCAAAATATAGCAATTACTCAGTCTGCAGTTTCCCCAGTTCAAATGCTTCTCTCCTTTATTTGAAAACATCCCCAGGCATGAGAACTCTGCTTTGGGTTCACGTCTATGCAGTTTGGACTGACTATCACTCTTCCTTAGCATTCTGGCTTGAACATTTGGGGTGTCTGAAAATACAGGGAGCACTGAATCACCGTTGGTGACAAAGCCTTTATGGAAAATATTGTCAGCCTTACGAGGTAAACCAGCCAGGAAACACAAGCAGATGAGCTCATTCGACTATATTGTAAGGTTACGCTAACAGGATCTGGCTAGACTGAAAGTACTTCTGTCCCCTGGTTCTCTTCACAGCCCCAGAACTAGGGAGGGTCCCTTCTGAGACATTTGCCACCCCTCCCCATATATGCTGTGGGCTAAGCTGCCTTTTATCTGACTGTTCCCTTGGTTATATCTCATTGCCCTGTCTCCCAAGGTCATTCCTACATACCATTACAAATATTGGGAACGAGAAAGAGAGAACAAAACACCTCCTGATGGAACACGCTGATGGTTGCTCTGAGATTTATTTGATAGCTGGAGTCGAATGGATTTTTTGCTCCATCCGGTTAGAACATTAATAAAGCTATACAGATCTAATTTGTTTACTCAAACAGGGCTTGGATGCCATTGTTTGCCTTATGGGCCTTTAAGTACTTTGTTATTACTTGGCTGGCACAACATTTGGGTATTAAGAGCGAAATCTCATAAGCTTGTATATTCTTGGTAGAGTTTAGATGTTGGAGTATGTTAGGTCATACTTTAGGGCAATCAACTGTAGCCTACTTTGCCCTTTTCCAGGAAATCTTTGAAAGGTTTTGAAATGAATTGTGATTTCTTTGAAATAAGCTGCTTTAAACCATAAGTCATGAATCTGGCTTGTTGAAATAAACTGCGGTTCACGTTACCCAAGACTTAAGTTTTGTTTTCAGCATGCAAACGACAGGTTAGCTGAAAACTGACCACAACTTTGAAAGCTGGCCACACATTTCAGGAGATGACTTGTATGTATGAATGAGTCATGGAACAAGAGCAGAAAGAGTGCAGATAAAATGTTTTGGTCACATGGACTGCTTAACCTTGATTTATTGCTTAAATCATGGTTTACAAACCACAGCAGCTGGCTTCATATAGTGCTCAAGGCCAAAATCAAACAAACCATATTGTGGGTATTATAAAATATGAAAAATAATTTCTAACAAGATCCTTTTCAGTGGAGACAGTTCATAAATCTGTCCAACATCCATCAGAGGACAGAATTTTCATTTGAGGACCATCCGTGTGGATAACAGCTAAGCCGGAGTAGTGCTACAGCCATCCAGTTGTGCTTGGACTAAAACTCCCAGCACCCCCTACCAATTCTTTAGGTTTGGCAGGAATGCTGGAAGTTGTAATGCAACTTCCATTGAACCAAAGTTGGGAATTATGACTGTAAAGGGGTGGGGGGAAGATTTTAAGGAAGCCAGAGTTGGAGATGTGTAGAGAAGTAAGAGATGGTCTTGAAGAAGGAATTCAACAACCATGGAGTAAATACCAACTTTGTCCTGGAAGGGAGGAGAGAGTGAGGAAGAAACTCAAGATTGCTCCACCTATGTTCTCTTTGGAATAAGAGGGGAGAGGAAATCTTTCCCAGGCTTTCAGGGATCTGTTATTATACAATAGAGTTGAGTTTAGCAAAAAAGCAGAGTTCTAGAAGCTCTTTTGGATTCTATTTCCTGACTTGTTCTATCTCGAAGGACCAACCAATGGTGACGGTCTCCAACTTGTCCAAATAAAATTTATGTCTGAGAGTCCTTGAGACATACAAGGGTGTCAGCTGCGAAAGCAAAGAAGAGGAAAAGAGAGCAAATAAAATAAAAATAAGGGACAAATGACAAGATTGCATCTTTAGCTTTGTCCATGTTCAGATAGGACGTGCAGACAAGGTCCAAACATGGGTTTCTATTCATCTTTGCTCAAACAGGCGGCTCTTATATTTTTACGTTGCACATTTGTTGTAGGGGAGAAGTCTTCTTGGAGAACAAATGAGCCTAGAATAAAATCTGGGCAACTCTGCACAAGAACCACAATCTCCTGGAGCTGAAGTTATTTCCCATTATAATCTGACTCGTTTGCAAGTTTTATAGACCACATCTATCTCAAATGGAGCACAATTGGCAGCTGTGGGCAATTGTTAAGTATTGGCTAAATAATGGGAAGGTGAGCGAGGAGTCTGTATTTCCAACTAATTATGGAGATGGAGAATAAATGCCAGAATTCCAGTAAAATAACAGGCATTGTGTATTATCCAGCTTTCCTTGAATGACTGCATAATGAAGACATTTGTTTGCAGATTGTTATTCAACGGGGGGAAAAGCTGTCGTTTTTTTCCCTCTAGAAAGTTAACAGGCTCCGTTGCCCACCAAAAATCGAAATTTTAAACGTGGAAGCTGAACATCTGAGTTGAAATGCTGGACTAAAATCCAATGGGTCCTGTGTAGGACTATTGTTGATCCTGTGCTGGTCTGGTTCTATCCCAGTTTAGTTTAGTCTTATTTTTGTATGCATCTTGGTTTGGGGCCCTAGCCATAAAGATTTGATTTGATTTTGATTTGAGTAGGTTAGGTTCCCCTGAGTTGGACTTCAGTGCCCATAATCCTCAACCAGCATGTCCATAGGCATCCGGGTTGAAGAAGAAGATGGGTGGATGTGCTCTTTCTAATCGTGCAACCCTTCCTCCAGGAACGAGCAAGTTTTCCTGCAATCCCAAGGGATATCTCTGAGTTTGAACTGTTAGGAAAAAAAAGCATATTTTAAGAGCATTTGGGGGAGGAAGATTACTTTGTTATACCTCATAATATCGGAGATATAAGTGCTTTTGGGGAATCATTATGTGGAGCCTAAAATGTGATTTTATGGGAAAGGACTATAAAAAGCCTCTTGAGTCGAGGACATGTTTTGCATACGCAAAGGCCCAAATTCAGTCTCTAGCAAAGCGTTCTTTAATATATATATTTTTTTAAAGGGGAAGAGGGAGAATCGCAGAGTAGATGACTTGAAATAATTCTGAGTTACATGGCGTATGTGTATACATGTATCCAGGCTTCCGGAGACCCCTCACAACCTGGTTATTTGCTTTCCTAATGCAGTCCTTTAATTTTTTTTTTCTATAGGTTAATATCTGTATCCTCATTGCCGTGACCAGAGTAATTTCAAGAATAAGTGCTGAAAATTATAAGGTGCATGGAGAGGCCAATGCATTCAAGTAAGTTTGTTTTCCCTTTTTCCCCCGATTAGCAGGAGCTTAAACTCCTAAGAGCATCTGAACGGATTCTGAATGCCGAGTCCAGAGTCATAGAATTGGAGTTCATTGATTTTTTGAAAAGAAATTGGGTTCTAAATCAGGGCTGGATCATAGAGAACATGCATTCAGCAGAGCAGTTTATCGAATCCCAAAGGAGAAGGTGAACTCCAGTCTTGTGAAGATCGCAGACATTAAGCGTACATCTGGATGTCCAGTGTAGTTGGCTGTTGGGGCACACTTTAAAAAAATAGACAAGACTTAGGCAGAGAGCTAAAAGTTATGATCCCATCCAGGTGAAAATCCCCTGGGATTATTTTGTAAGCAATTTTCATCCCAATATTTGAATTTCACTCCCTTCAAGCAGTTCTTTTGCTGTGTGCTAAGCACAGGGAAAAAGTTTCCTTCCTTCCTTCCTTCCTTCCTTCCTCATCTCCTTCCTTCCTTCCTTCCTTCCTTCCTTCCTCATCTCCTTCCTTCCTTCCTTCCTTCCTTCCTTCCTCATCTCCTTCCTTCCTTCCTTCCTTCCTTCCTTCCTCATCTCCTTCCTTCCTTCCTTCCTTCCTTCCTTCCTCATCTCCTTCCTTCCTTCCTTCCTTCCTTCCTTCCTCATCTCCTTCCTTCCTTCCTTCCTTCCTTCCTTCCTCATCTCCTTCCTTCCTTCCTTCCTTCCTTCCTTCCTCATCTCCTTCCTTCCTTCCTTCCTTCCTTCCTTCCTCATCTCCTTCCTTCCTTCCTTCCTTCCTTCCTTCCTCATCTCCTTCCTTCCTTCCTTCCTTCCTTCCTTCCTCATCTCCTTCCTTCCTTCCTTCCTTCCTTCCTTCCTCATCTCCTTCCTTCCTTCCTTCCTTCCTTCCTTCCTCATCTCCTTCCTTCCTTCCTTCCTTCCTTCCTTCCTCATCTCCTTCCTTCCTTCCTTCCTTCCTTCCTTCCTTCCTTCCTTCCTTCCTTCCTTCCTCCTCCTCCCCTCCTCCTCCTCTTCCTCCCAGAAAACCACAGAAAGTTGCAACTTGATTTTGTGCCATTGTGCAAATTTGCAATGTTTGAAACCTGTCGATCCTCCATCTGGCTGGTATAGCTCATTCGGCATTTGCCATGGCAGAAATTTGCAAGATTTATCAGACAGGAAAAACAACAATAACCTTAGCTCTTGATTAGAAGAGCAGGAGGTATTTTTAGTCTTTTAGTAAGAGGTGGCACAAGAAAATGAACTAAAAATAAGCAGCACTGGGGAATGATTTTTCTCCTGTCTCAAAACAGCGAAGATCCTAGAGAATTTCTCATCTATGCTGCAAAATGGTTGTTTGCTATAGTAAACCTGAGGACAGAAATGGAGTATGTAGTGAGTAGTTATAAATGGACATGCAATGGATGTTATCAGCTGGGCCAATCAGAACCACACAAGGCTGTAAGTAACCTACAGCTCCCTGTAGTAAGTGTTTAGTAACACAGCTTGTGATTCTAGTTGGCAAAGATCAAACTGGTATGTGTACACAAATTTGCCCATGTGCATTTAAGGACTCTGGAGATGAAGTTTGTTGGCAGCAAAACTATTTGCTGGAGAGCAGTTTTGTCTCATTGCAGCTGGCAAGAACAAATCGGTGTAATTGTTGCCAATAATTTTCCCTGGCATGGATGGTGGGTTGAGCCCATGTTGATTCGATTAATGGTATTGAAAGAGCATCAATCTGGCCTTATCACTGTTTACCAAAGGGCAATTTTATCATCTGAGTCTATTAAGCAAATTGTGACTTCCTTATAAAACTAAACTTCAAGGATCTTACGCATAATCTCACAAGTGAACAGCGGCAATTACTTGCCTGGTGGATGAAGGCTGGAGAACCGCACATTGTTCTGTATTCAAGGACGGTAAACCAATGGAGTAGAGATTCTTTTCTATGTAACTTTGAGCACAGCAGCCCAAAACATCAGAGTGAAGCATCTGCAATGCATAACATGTAGAAAGTGTTTCTGCTGATGGTGCACAGATGGTGCTTCCTTTGAGACAAAAACATTTTGCGGCTCTGTTAGTAACATGCTCTGGTGATAGGTTGGGTATTCTTCATTTTGGCCACCATCACTTAGAAAACCTAAAGTTGGAACTGAATGTTATGCGCATATCATATTTTAATAGCACTGAAAATACCTCCTGGGCTTTGCCCCTTCACATTATTAATGGGGATGTGCGCATGATTGAAACACTGCAGAAAAGCAACCTGGATGCAGTTGTAAGATGGTTACTGTCAGCCTTGTGGAATAAACCAGATAGGACTCACCACCAGATGAGCTAATTCTACTTTATTGTAAAGCTACATGGACAGAATCTTGCAAGTTCTCCCTCCATCTCCTTTACAGCCTGAGAAATTAGGGAGGGTCCCTTCTGAGCCTCTTGCCCCATCCACTATCCAGCTGAGGGCTATGCCGTCTCTTATCTGACCATTCCCTTGGCAGCGTCTCTTTGCCCCTTCTCCCAAGGTCTTTCCCACATACCATTACAGTTGCCTAGAAGATTTTTCTGATATAGTGTTTTATTGTTATGCACGGGCATTTATGCACGTAAAAAAGCGCCATGCATCATTTCCCAAAACTTTATGTGAATGCATAAGGATTCTGTAAGTTTACTTTTGGTGCACTCTTTTCACCTCTGCACAGGAGCCATTGTGAAATGTGGGTGAGAATATTGTTGGAGTAAGTTCTTTTCCACAATACCACAGGACCTTTGATGCATAAATCAGAGTTAGAGGCTTTAAACTGGTCAAGTGCAACCATGGCAAGCATAAGAAACCCATGTTTAAAACTTGGAAGACTCATCCCACCTCGAAATGTGGCTGATTTTTTTCAGCCATCCTCAGGAGAGAAGGGATGAAAACAAAACTCCCCAACAAACTGAAGAGAAGAGGGACTTCCCTCCATATAGACACAGCCTCACTGTCAGCATTACAAGCCTCAGCGTGCCTCAGCCCGGGGCTTTGCATATCATTTGTCCTGGCTGGCAAAACCTCATTAACTGGCTCTTGATAAACTGCCAAGCCCAAATCTTATGGAATGTTTCTGCTCCTCATCACCTCCGATGTGGTCTAGTGGGTTGGAAAAATCGATATCATTCCTCTAGTACACACAGTCCCTGGAATATAAGCCAGGGACTCCACAGTGAGACTTGTCACGAATAGGTGCAGAGAGAGAGCCACCAGGGGGGAAAAATGTCTTCAGCTTTTTAAACAGATTCTCCGTTTGGATTCCCTGTGTAGAATCCAAACATTTTCTCTGTGTCCTTTTCTTCAGTGTGAGGCTCAATTATTTACTCACTAAAAAGATGATTCGCTTCCCTGAGATGACAAGAATGAAAATCGCATCCTTTCTCTTGATTTGGGTGAATGGGCCAATGGTCCCTCCTGCAAACTGGAAAACATACCCAGGGATGAACCAGATTGATTCCTATATACCTGATTATGCATAATGTTGCATAACATCCAGGCTACATATTACTCTTACTTCCCAACACGGTTTCAATTTCTGATTCTGTAGCTGGAGTGTGATCAGTTAGAGAACCAGACTGCCTTTGGGATGTGTTTGATTTTCTAACACCCAAGGGTGGAGTAAAAGGAGACCCATTTGAGCAAGCGCCCCAAAAGAGGAGGGTGGGGCCAGATCCCAGACTCGAAGCAAGACATTAAGCAGGGAGATTAAACCGTGGTCATTAGCAATCCAGAATGCGAGTCAGCGTTGATAATGTCTTAAAGCTAATTACATCTTTGGCTCATTGGACATGATAAAAGACAAACACTATTTGGGTCACAGTTTATTAGACTCAGGAGAGGAAATGCTCAGGGTGAACCGATATGCCTACGCAGACACATGAACACACCACATGAAACATGGGAATTAATATAGTGAACTAGAAGGTTGGATGGGGAACATGGAAAATAGGACTGGCAAGGGAATGGGGGAAATTGCAAAAAGGCTTAGTTGGCTTATAACTGAACAGGATCCCTCTGCCTTGCCATGTTTTATGGTTGAGTCCTCTCTTACACAATCTCAGCTAGATGGCAGCATCTCGCTGATTCTGGCTGACCTCTAAAAGAGAAACCGGGGCAGATCTGATTCGTATTTGTCAGCCCTTCAAGGTAGATCACATTAGGAAACCATTGCCCTGTAGATCAGGACTACTTTTATTGTAAAGCTATAGTAACAGGATCCTGAAATCTGAATGCGATTTCTCCTCCCTCCCTTTACCTTTGTGTGAACTAGGGAGGGGCTCGTCTGAGATGTTTTCTCAAATTACTTTCTCGGTCGAGGCCCAAGCGCCTCTTATCTGACTGTTGTCTTGGTAGTGGCTCTTCCTCCAATCCTTCAAGGCCATTCCCTGTTCCCTCTACAGCATTTGGATGGGAGAGTAGCAGGAAATCTCAGGGCAGTAGGCTAGGCTGGGAAGTTCACAAAGAAGGCAACAGCAAACAACTTTCATTGCTAAGAAAACTTCGTTGCAGTGTGCATGAAGGCCCCAGAAGCTGAGCCAAGCTCGCATTGTTTATACAATACAACTCTTCCCTACAATACAATTTCTCTTGGATAAAAGCCACCCATTTTTAAAATTTCACTTCCATCTCGCACATCTTGTTCCAAGGAGTGGGAGTCGTAATATATTATAATTGGGGGGTGGTTGATTTTTTTGTTGGTCGGCTCAATAGAAGAACGTGCTTTTTTTCCTCTGGTTCTTTCCTTTTAAGATGAACATTTTGAATAGGCCTATTAGCCAAAAACATTTTTTTTTTTTAAGTTCTTTCTGTTGGAGGCTTAATTTTCAAAGGGTGAGCTCAGGGTCTTCTATTCCTAAATTCAGTCGAATAATACATTTGCAAAGAGTATACAATATGCTTTAAGAAATAAAAGTCTACTGAGCAGCTTTGCCCTGTGTTCGGAAAGATTTGTGCAATTCTATTGGGGAAAAAAAAAAAGGAATCCTC